TAGGAATTACATGTGGAGGAATTACAGTGTTCGTTGTTGCCGCCGCACGACAAGATTTTTCAAATTTTATAATTAGACTATGGATATTTATGCAAAATACTTAATTGATTATTTTGCAAAAAATGCATATTTTGCATAAATTACAAATTTACAAATGGCAATCTCAACTTTTTTACTTTACTTTCTAATAACTCTTTAACAAATAATGATCGACTGCTAAAACTGTCCGATGGTTAATATTCAGTTAAGTATTCTATTTAATCAACTTTCATAATCTTTTGGAATATATAGATTTAAAAAATTCTTTGAATATGGTAAAGAAAATGAGATAGAATACATGGAGTTTCTTATTATTCCTATTTCACTAATTAAGAAGATATACAAGATAGGCATAAAATGTATCTGCATAAAATGTAAAATACTATATATATATACTTGCAAAAAAGTGTAAAATACATATATGTCTACATATGTAAAATTTTAAAAATATATCTGGACAATAAAATTTGCAATTAAGTATAGAATATAATAATTATAATTTAAAATATATACTGTTTAGTTCTTTTTCTGCATTTTTTAATTTATATCACAAATTGTATTTCAAATTATATTCAGTAATAATAAAAGAATTTTAATAATAGTTGCAAATACATTGCGCTGTAACATTGTTACGACATTATAACGCAATCTTGCTGAAGGCGGATATTTTTATGATGTAATGACATTGCAAATACATTGCGCAATCTATTTGCAATATTGCAGTGAGATATATCTGTAATCATTTTGCAATCTTTCTGCTGCGCTGTATGGATGAATATTTAATTTTATAATCGAATCTAAAAAATTTTGGTTTAATTTGTCCAACGAATAGTTTGACTACAAGGATGATTATTGCAAATGCTTTGATTACTGATATGGCATTATAGTTTCTTGATTATAGGCTTAATAATGAATTATAATTATGTGCAATTATTTATTTAAATAGTTATTATTATGAATAGTTTCCTCTTGTTTCTAATTTCTGAAAGCTAGTAAAATAATCATTCATATACATAACTAAAATAATACATATTAAAATAGTGCGCTGTAACGATCATTATAGATAATTTGATTAGAAAATTAATCAGAATGTTATGAGCACGGAAATCGAAACACGGAATCGGATAGATGAAATGGTAGAGATAACCAAATCGTTCCGTTCCAATTATGAGTAGGCTGGCTCCCTATGAGCGTTTCTTTCGGAAATGGAAATTTTTCGTACACTGTCGGTCACTATCCCTACAGCATAAAAGTTGCAGCAACATTGCGTATTGCAGCAACATTGCGTATTGCAGAGTTATTGGCCAATAAACAAATATTATTACTACTACATGGGCCATATGGAGCATATTTTTTTGGAAATTTTTCATACACTGTTGGTCACTAGTGATCATTAGCGATTAGGAGTATTGAAAAAGCGTAGTAGTAGTATTTATTTATTTTTTGGCCAGCTAAAAAGAGGATTAAAAAGGTGAAAAATGTCATCTGTAGGCATTGTAATTATCAACATGTATGCTAAATTATTTTATATTACAATATTATATTTTATATTACAATAGATAGATAGATATTATAATGATGGTCTCGTATACATTTCTAACCTAACGTATATACAATATTCCAGATACCCAAGGAAAGCAAGAAAAGCAATGTTATGTCAATTTGACGTCATTTTGATTGAATTTGTATCATTTTTTCGTCAGTTAATATAATGTCAAATTAATGTTATTTTGGCTAAAAAAAAAGAATTGATATTATTTGGACAATACTATTCGACTAAACAAATACTATTACAAATACTACTACTCTTTTTTAATACTCCTAATTAATCGCTAGTGATTATTACTCCATGGCTCCATGAAAGCCTCAAGAATATAATTAAGTATCTCTACAGGAAGAATATCCTTGCTAAAGTAAACACTTTCAGGAAACTCAAGTCTTCTCTAATCAAGAAACTATCGAACTTGACATTCCTAAAACGATGTAGAGATAATAACATTATCCCGAAATTTCTACAACTCAAGGATTACCTAGGAACTCACAAATCCAAAAATATCTTCCATAAAACCAGTTCTCATCACATTCACTAACTCTTCACTAACAAGTAAACCTACCTAGGTGTTACTACACTCCGATTTTGAGTTTTTAATATGTTGTTCTCTAGACAAAAATAAGCGACAAGTATTTTTATATACGTGTATGTCATATGCACTTTTAAGGGGTAAAATATTCTTTTGAGAAAATCGATTTTTCTCTTTCGAAGCGAATACCTTCGAACTATAAGAGAAACTATAAGAGGTAGAAAAAATTTTCTAGAATGAAAATTGAATGACTTTAAAAATACTTTAGAAATATGATAATTTTTTAAAAATTATTTATTTATAATAAAAATTATTTATTATATTTATAAAAAAAATTTTTTATTATAGTTCTAAAATACTTTTGAAGCCATTCAATTTTCACTCTGAAAAATGTTTTTTATCTCTTATAATTCCGGCGATATTCGCTTCGAAAGAGAAAAATAAATTTTTTTCTAAGAATTGTTTCAGCTCTTAAAAGTGTGTACGGGAACGTATAAAAAAATACGTGGAGACAAAGCCGAATTCCGTAAATTCCTTATTTTCTTCAATAATCAACATCCACTTCATTATAGACATAGAGGAAAACGGAAAATTTCCTTTTCTAGATGTTATTGTCTCTAAGAAAGCTGACGGTATCTTAAGCCATCAAATGTACAAAAAATCAACACACACAGATAGATACCTACATGTCGAATTGCACCATCACTATCCAGCACAAAAACAGTTAGCAATTAATTCATTTGTAGAATTTTTACCATCTCTAACAAAGAACATCTACAGACAGAACTCAACTACCTAAACTAACCTTACAGAAAAACGGACACAACAAAAAAGACATAACCAAAATAATCAATAAACATGCAAACAAGACAACAGTCTCTGATACAACCAAACGAAAGGATTCTATCCATTAAGTCAAAGGAACTACAGATCGGATTGACAGGATATTAAACAAACACAATATCCGAACTATTCAAAAAGATAGGGTAAATCTTAAGTATTAATTCATTACTATTCAAATCATCCAAAAAGATAGGATAAATCTTAAGAAATCCTAAAGCTCAAAGACTTTCACTCAGTTCTGTAGAAGTATCAAAATACCTTGTTCCTTGTGGACAAGTATACGTTGAAAAAATCGGAAGAATAGTCAATCTATAAAAAAATATTAACGTGATATCAGGCTAAAATTCGTTACACAGTCGGCATTATCAAAACACAATATCGAAACAGGATATCAAATACTGTTTGACGAAACGATCACAATAACCAACATTACATCATACAAAAACATCCTAACAATCTAAATACAACAAAAATAAAATATGGAAGACCATTCTCTCGGTTATTGAAAACCGACCGATTTCCTCCATCTTTACTCCTCTCCCTACAATTTTCTTCTTCCTCTCCAATAAACTTCCACTTTAAATAGTGTAATATAAAGGGAACGGCCCGGAGGAACAGCTCACTATCAGGCTGCTCCTCGATGAAATGCATTGCAAAATTCACCAAACGTTGGCATTCCAAGAACAGATCTGGACACGGAGAAAATCCGCGAAACGTATAATCTTTATAAATACTCACTATTAAAGAGTGAATAATTATTATTAAAATCCAATTGTGATTATTGGATTTCCAATATAGTTCATTTTCATAAAGTTGATACATGAAAAAGATAGGAATGACTACTTTCAGATTTCTCTCTAGCATGTGTGTATATATATATATATATATATACATATAAAAT